GCGCCGCGTGCCCGCCGGCCGGCGGGCTGGCTGGAGCCCGGGCTTGGCGCGGCCGGGCCCGGTGTCTGGGGTGGCCCCGCAGTCCCGCCCGGGGACCAGCCCCACCTGCTCGGCCTCCCCACCGTCTTGGCCCCAGTGACCCCGACCCGGCCCTCGTTGGAGGCCGGGAGCCCGGGGGGACATGGGGGGACAGTGGGGGAAACGCCCGCACCCCGTGCAGGGCCGCCCGCCGGGCCCCTCCTCACCTCCCGCTCTGAAGAAGCGGGTGCCTGGGGAATAACGTCCTGAGGAGGGGTCTCTGAGAGGCTCCTGGCCAGGGGCCCACACCCCCGTATGCATGGGACCCTGGTCTCAGTCCTCCCTTGGGCAAGGCCTCAAGCAGGGTCCACGGTGACCCGCAAGGCACCCACAGCTGTGGGTTACGTAAGGGAAGACGAGGCTAAACACACCCAGCCGGAATCAGGGCGCCCAGGACTCAGGAGGCTCCGGTGCGGGGAGGAGCATTCGGAGAGGCGCGCAGGGCCCGGGCTGGGCAGCGCGCTGGGCCGGTCCCCGCTGCAGCGGACGGGCGAGGTCACTGCGCTAGGGGCGCAGCCCGGCAGCAGCTGCCGCGTTAGCGCCAGCGGCGGGAGGGGGTGGAGCGGCAGAGCCAGAGGGCGGCGCCCCACCCCCCCACCCTGCACACACGTGCTTGGATACCGGGTCAAGGACAGAGTTACCTGGTGCGGCTCAGTGCAGACAGACAGACAGACATGCCCACGCTCAGACGCGCATCCACCCTCAGCCGGGGAACAGCCGCCCAGCGACAAGCTGGGACCGCAAACAGTCAGACATCAGACAGCAGACAGGGAACAGCGCCCGAGGGAGAGGGAAGCAGCGACTCCGCTTGGCTGCCAACGGCGCACATCGCGGATGCCTCAAGGAGGACAGGAATGAGTCTGGGAGGGGGTGGGGAGCGGCTGCGGGGAGGGCTGCGGAGGGACCCAGCGCCGCGCACCGGCGCCCCACACTGGCAGCGGCCCAGCGGCGCTTCCGAACTTCGGGGAGTGGGTCAGGGAGCTCCTGCTCGCTGCGATGCTCGGCGGTGGCAGAGCTGAGCCCCAGACCGTGGCCCCAGCCAGCTGGCTATTTCCCGCCGCTGGGGCACTGCCTAGGGGAGGGCTGAGTCCAGCTCGGCCTCTCCCCGGAAGGCCTCTGATCGCCTCCCACAGGCCCCTAGCTTTCCACCCAGTTTGCCCCTGAGCAGGGGCGTGCTGGGCTCAGGCACAGGCCCAGGGGCAAACTGGGACACCACTGTGCAGCCTGCCCGGCCTGTGGGGTCGGGGCTCCACCCCCATCTCTGGCCAGCGGTCTCTACCAGGCCCTTTTCTGCCACCCCCAAGGCCAGCTCCAGCCAGATGAGCTGTATGTGCCCCTAGGTCTCTGGACACGGGGTAGGTGGGGGCTCTCACTCACCAGCTGGGGCCTCAGTGTCCCACCTTGGCACCTGGTGGGAACCACTCTCTGTTTAGAGCTGAGGGGCAAAGTGAACAAGGGTCTGTGAGGTCTGTCACCCCGCCACATCTGCCCTGGTGATGGTCAGCAAGCTTGATACCCCAAGCAAAGGCCCGGGGCCCCGGGGATGGGGAATGTCCAGCTGACATTTCTCCTCTCCATCTTTCATCCACAAATGTCCAGAACTCCAAATACCTCCTCACTGCCCACCCCTGACCACCTGGGCGGGGGGCACTTCCCTGGGGGGCTCTCTGCCCAGTAGCTGCATCGGGACAGCTTACCCACCATCGCTCCGTACACATTCTGGGGAACAGCAGCCTAAGGTGGTGTGCTAACAGAATGTCCATCACACAACCAGGAGAGATGGTGTGCTTGTGTACTATGTCACCCGAGAAAGCCGCCAAGCTCAGGGTTCCAGACCTTCTCCTAAGGGCACCCAGCTCGGGTCGGGGTGGATTCATCTCTGAGGGTCTGACCATGTAACCTCGGGGTGAGTCACCATATTTCTTTGAGCCTGAAGAGCCTCCTCTGCAAGTGAAGGCCAGTGGGAATGGGGGCCCAGGGTCTGATGACAGTGGCTGCTAGTGGTGGGCGCCCCTATTGTCCAGACTCCTTGCCAACACTTACACATGACCTTACTAGCCCCCTGACGCACTAACAGTGGGCAGGACCAGCTGCCCTTGTTCAGAACCTACAAGCCCCCTACCCTCCTGGGATCCTGGAACCCACTGTCTCAACAACCACATGCCTGGCCCAGGCCTCAACTGGAGGCCCATGAGGCCAGTAGGCATACCACTGCGACCAGCACCTGTACACAGGGCTGCGGCAGGGCCCTGACTCGGCCTAGGCCATGCATGTGAATGGGGAGTCTCCGTGTGGCTTTCTGCCCTCGATGACTCTGTCCCAAGGAGTGGCTGAGGTGTACACTTTGTGTAGGAAAAGGAAGGTGGCCAGTAAGACCACAATTTCAGGAGCAGTGCCCAGTGTCCTGGCAGGTGGGTCAGGGTTCTGGGAGGGAAAGGCCTGGAGATTGAGATCAGGAGCTCTGAACCACTGGCATGGGCCTGGTGTGTGGCCGTAGGTGACAGCATGATGGGTTTTTGGTTTTTTTGGTAGCGGGGATCGAACTCGGGATCTTGCCCTTGCGGGGAAGGTGCCAGAACCACTGAGCTAAATCCCTGGCCCAGCATGATGGGTTTTGTGTCACATGCAAACACACTCCAGAATGCATCCACCACCAAGGAGTAACGTTGACACACACAGACACAGTGGCCACACTGAGGTTGATGTGGGCTCAGGACCACCAGCCCCAGTCCAGCTCCAAGCTGCCAAAGGCACTGTCTGGAGGACACACTGGGCCCCTGCCGACCTGGTCCTCACAGGATCCCCAATGTGTACCTGGTCCAGGTTAGGGTTTGCCTCTCTTACTACACCATGATGCATGGGCTCACGGAGTCCTGATCCACAGGTGTCACGTCCGGCCAGGGCGCCTACTTCCCAGCAAAGAAGGGGCTAGAATGGCCCAGGGCCAGGAAACCTGGGCCGTATTGCTGGCCACACCTTCCAGGAGGAACTGGCCTCACAGGAGGCAGGGACTGATCCCCCATGGGCACACAGCTTGGGGACAATGGCCTGTGGGGAGGGTGCTGTCCTACAGGATGTGGATCACGAATCAGAGACCCTTCCATGGCACTACATCTCCAACAAGAGGGGCATAGGAGTTGAGGAGCCAGGAGGATGACAGAGGTGGGCCGCTTGGATCCTTCTCAGTGATCCACTGTTAAACAGGTCATTCTGAAGCTCTGGGCTCTGTAGGGTTAGAAGTCCTCACTGGGGACACAGCAAAGGCTTCCCGCACAAGGACTTTGAGGGCCTTGGGGCCAGGGACCAACAAACAAGAAGGTCAAGGATAAGTGGCCCTGACCAGCAGGAGAAGGTGGGGCTCCTGCTGCACACGGGGGTTGGGGGGACAGGTGTGGAATTTAGGAGCCCTCTTGGCACCTGGTAGTTTCTGTGGATGCACGGGTACAGCTCCCCTAGTACAAAACCCAGGGGCTCAGCTCCCTCGGGTGGGAGGGTAAGCCCCAAGACCCTCAGAGGTGACTCAGAAGACAGTGTTGGCATGAGCGACATGGTGCAGGTCGAGGGGTGACGGGGCTCTGCTTTGGGTGTGGAGACTGACTTGTAGTTGGGCTTCCCAGGGGAGTGGTCGAGTGGCGATCCGGGTCTGGGGGCTGCTGGCCTGTGTACTAACTAGTGCCACCCTGGTGGCAGCTCTGCCTCCAGCTTCCTTTGCTGGGCCAGAAAAGACCTTTCTCCCTTGAACCAAGGGCAAGCCCAGTGTCACTGTCCACAGAGCTCTGCTCCTGCTGTTCAGGACATGGCTCACTAATGAGAAATAATGAGGGAACAGTGGCCGCGGAGGGCCAGCTGTCCTGCTGCTGACAGCCAAGGCCCTCGTCAGGGTCTGGGTCCGGCGCCATGGCACCTCTTCAGAGTAACCGCTATTTGCTCTCTCTTTCTGCAGGAGCTCATTTGAATATGGGAATGCAGATTTTGCCTTTTTTGTCTCCCCCCCCCTCCCCGTGACATTCCAAGCCAGCTCCTCAAGCATCCTGATGAGCTCAGGGCCTGGGTGTGATAAAAATGGTATCTGCGTCCACTGACTTGGAATAAAAGGCTGGGTCTCGCTCTCCCTACTTTGAGCACCAGGCAGAATCAGGCCCAAGGCCCAGGTGTTGGGAAGGAGAGGGGGGACAGGAGATCTAGAGACAGAGTTGCTGTTAATTGTCTGCAACTTACAGAAACCAACCCAAGAAAGCCCTGAGGAAAACGAGTGTTTTTTGTCACCCAGGGCTGGGCCGAGAAGTCCAGGATGAGCATGAGCATCAGACACAGCTGCATCCAGGCTCTCAGAGAATGGCTGCCCCGGCAACGCACCCTTCTCTGTGTTTGCTTCCTTCTCAGACAGGGATTGTGTCCCTGAGACCTCTGCACAGCTCTGGGTTGCTCCCCATCTCCCTCTACTCCCAGAGGGACAGGGAGCTGCTGA